TTGCATAGTCTCAGAATTGTATTAATTCGATTTGAAATGAATATTCTTTGTTAGTTAATATTTGTTAGTTCAGTAACAAGTATTTATATCTATATCAGTATCAGATTACAATAACGCCGAGTTTTTCTATAAAAATGAAAAACAATAACAATATTAACAATAACAAGAAACTGAATCTGACTGTGTTTAATAACGGCCAGTCTCCGATTGACAACTAGTTAATATTAGTGTTTAAATAGTTTACCGTTATTCACGTCCGGCATTCTCACATTACCAATTTTAATAAAAATAGGAAAACACCTTTAGTATAATAAAAAAAAATTCAAAATTTACTAAAATTGTTGGATACTTGAGTACGATTTTTATAACGATTTACTATCTATTGTGTATATACATTTTTATAAATAATAAATATTAATATATAAAATCAAGTTGAAAATAATAATGGATCTCTTGGCGGGGTACCTTGTCCCTACGACGAGTTCGAGTTTTGTTGAATGCAATTCTACTTAAACTTATAGGCATCTTTGTATGTATATACGGCATAATAGACAGTATGTAGGATAGTAGTAGGGTTTAGATGGTTGTAGATATAACAAATAGGTATTCAAAATGTAATCTTTTATAACAAAAATAAAAGTACTAATTTCGGTAAAAATATGAAAAACCCTCTAGTAAGACACTATATTAGAAAAATTAGTAATATCCTAGGTTTGCAGCCTACAGTCTAGGTGAAGGTCGCGGGTGTAAAAGTAAGTCAAGTTTAAATTCAAGAAATAATGTTAAAAATGTTTGTATCTTTCAGTTAAAAATACAATATAATCTTGTAGCTATAATTTATCATATAGGTATCTCGATTCGCAGCGAGGTCCTCAATCTTTTCACTGCACATCATTTGAACTAAAATTTAGAATTTATAAGTTAAAAAAAAACCGACCTTGTTATAAGTGACCGGAACATGACTGTATCTGTGTTACATTTTTCAGGACCGCCAACATACATGGTTGGCATCGATAATTGTGAATATAATACTCCATATCATTTATTGTTGTATATTCATTAAGTTCCTAATAAATTGTAAATATATTTGTCTTCCTGTTATTCGATTCGGTAAATAATAAAAATGTCTTATTTAAAAGTTAATTTAATTTGATTGTGTTGAATAAAAAACATTTATAGAAAATAACATTACCTATCTACGTAGCCTAACTTAGAAAGTAGTAGCCAGTTAATGAAATGAACAAAGTTTATAAAAAACAATTTTACATAGAGCTTCCGATTACAACATAAAGCCAAGGAGATAAATGTATACAAGGAGGAATAAAATATGTACAACAGTTTATATTATTTGGTTATAAACATGAAAACTTTTTTCTATAAAAAAAAGTAATATTTTTCCAAATTTTCGCCAATTTTAAACAATTATTTCACTCTCGACCGACTGTCATCACATCGATATTTAATTATAAATATCAAGTTCTTTATCTTGATTCGTTTTTGGATTATAGCGATAGGAGAGTATCGAAAATATTGGCTTAAATTACATCAACACCCAAAAGAAGGACAAGAATTATTAACATTACCGCTAAACACGAATGAAATGAATTACAACGAGGATGATATAGCTTTCAACTTCATCTAAAATATAAACAAATTGTGTATATTAAGATATAGTAAAATAAACCCATATCAAGTATGATAACAATGTTGCAACGAGACGGCATTACCTGCTATGAAGGTAAACACAAGAAAACCTCGGGCGGTGACGAAACTATAACAAAATTGCCTTTATTTTGCCCCTAAATAAATTGCTAAACTTTTCCTTGTAGGATATGTCTAATGGATAAAGTGTAAGGCCGTTCTTTAGTTCGTTATCGCCCAAAACTGAAGTGACCATTCTGATTCAATCTATTCTGCGGTAACACTATGGTGGACATAAGTCATTTTCAGTGTACTTATCGGTGGCTGGCCGAAACATTGTTGGCTGCGGGTACGATGGCGGCAACGACAAGCTTAAGATTAATAAAAAAACATGAGATTACAAAAATAGCCTTAAAACATAGTAAAATAGTTTATAGAGTTATGAAACAATCCCTACTATTGACCAGTGGCGTTTTCACCTAACTAATTGCCAAAGAAGAGATTGTTTTTTTTTTTTAATTTTATTCTACCCATAAAGATTAACTAATTTTATTAATTGATTGTAGCTATATCTTTGTGTTATATTATTTAGGACCGCCAGTTAACATAATTGGTTGGCATCGATAATTGTGAATATAACACTCCGTATCATTTATTGTTGTATATTCATTAAGTTCCTAATGAATTGTAAATATCTTTGTATTAAAATATTATAGCGAAAATCTGTTAAATTAAAAAATGATAAAATATTATTTAGGATTATCTGTTTGTTTATAGAGACAAATCTGGTTTATACAAAAAAAAAGTGTGTATAAATTTAAATTGAAAGACTGGTCAAAAAGACTTACAAAAATAATGTACATAAAACAAACATAAATGCATACCTCCAGGCCTTCGAGTATGAACTCTCTTCCTGTTATTCGATTCGGTAAATAATATTTGTATTATTTACCGAATATACAGTTTTTTAAATAATACAGTGTTTTTAAAAGTTTTTTTAAATTTCATTTACGCAGTAGGAACGTCTCGTAGATTGTGTTAAATGAAAAACATTTGTACAAAAAAACAATACTTATCTACGTAGCAACTCAGAAAATACTAGCCAGTTAATGCAATCAACAAAGTTCATAAAAAAAAATCTTACATAGAGCTACCGATTATAACATAAAGCCAAGGAGATAAATATATACAAGGAGCAATAAAAAATATGTACAACAATTTGTATACTATTTTTTCTATACATGAAAACTTTTTGGGGGTTTTATCTATAAAAAGTAAAAATTAAAAGCATTCACATTTTTGTCAATCTTTATCAATTACCTACTTCACTCTCTTCACTCTCACTTAATTTTCCAAAATATCACAAAATCATGGACAATAAACCCTGATATAAAAACGCTTTGAGCAAAGTTAGAACTTATTAAATTAAGCGCCTGTATTTACAAATTAGCATTTTATTTATAATAATTCCTGTGGACCAGTGACCTCTCCGTCCCCTCGATGCTTTGATTCCATTGGGCTTATACTCTACAGACTAGTCCTCTCGGATAAAATCACTTTCAAATTAATAACGCTTTGATGCTTATTTTTAAATACAGCACCTCAATTTAATAATTACTAACTTGTTATTAAATTATTTTTAAAAAATGAAAATAAAATACTTCTGTTGAACAATTTTTTTTCTAGCAACGGTCGGACTAACTTTTTAATGAAGAAATAATTTTTTGAACGATGAGAGATTAAAAAACTTGTTTTTACCGTTTGTTCAGACCGAAGAAAATTTAATAAGGATGATAAACAATTTGATGAAAAATTAAAAACAAAAATGATCTTAGCTTGCCAGTTTTAATTAATTTAGGTAACACATTTTGTTTCAAACAAATAACAGTGTGAAATTTCCTTAAGAATAGTTTTATCTATAACTTCGATAGCCGAGAAGGTATTTTAGTTGTATAATACATAATTATACATTACTATACATGTATATAGTCGAGTAATGAAATCAGTGAATGTGAACAAATAGAATATCATCACAATGTTTAACCGATTAAACAACTATACACTAACGTTACAGTAAACAGGATAACCATACTATAAAATATGATATTGTATTAATGAAAAATTAAATAAATAATTTCGACGTTTAAAAAAAAGCAGATAAATCTTACATACCATTTTCAAAATAACACAGTTGGAAATTTGTAATAATAATAATTGTAGGATCGCCCATTAGTCACCCAACTCAAAAGTATAGATAATGTTTCCATCTTACTTAGATCTAAATCGAAAATCCGCACTCAGAAGAGCTGGGAAAAAGTCTGGATGAACTCTGAACCTCGCGCCAACGGAATGTTATGAAATCACTTCTCCAAAAGAGTCAGCTAGGCGACTTCAACTGGATTATTAAGTATGTAAAAGGAGTTCCGTCAATTGTGTCAAAAAACTAGTTTACTCGAAAGATCAAAATTCTGTGTTATGTACCTAATATTTGTAAATTAAATAATATATGTTTTTGTAAAATAAACTAAAATAAGTAAATAATGTAAAATATTTTCTAGATATTACCAAAATGTAAGGGGTTGAATGTAAAAAACTACTTCACTATTAAATTTCTTAAAATAAAACAAGTTTTTGTAAATGTAACTCCGAGAAATACGTTTAGGTATACAATAGGTACATGTTATATACCAACATGTATTCATGTGTTCTGTTGGTGTGTAAAAAAAGCACATTGATACAGTTGACTTTTCTATTGCTAATGCCAATGCCTGTGTGATCTTAGCGGATGAATACAATCTTAGTGGAACTAAATGGTTTGAAAATGACATTGGGCTAAATTATAACGAAACTATTACAAATTATTCTTAGCTAATTTATGAATACTTCACTGGGCTTAATATTTATCAATAAATAACACCAATAATGATTATGGTTCAACACTACATTTAATATTTGCAAGTAACAAATCACCAATAGGAAACAAGTCTGATAGTAATTTAGTTTATTCGGATCGGTATCATCCATCATAATAATTAGTTGATTCAAATAAGCAGTATAAATTTAATTTGTGGTACTATGACTTTAGTAATATTGATTTTAATGGGTTGTCGTACTATTTGTACGGCTGTGACTGGTCCAATACCTATAGCAGTAATGATATTAATGTTGCAGTAAAATATGTTTATGATGGATCAAATGAAGGCTACGTTTATTTGTTGTTAAGAAAAAACCCAACTCACTAAGTTTTCCTATCTAGTTCTTTAGTTCATTACGTTCGTTAACTTTAATAAATAAATATTATAAATTTAGAATGTAATACACTTTTATACTTTATGATTGGCTAAATGTTTTAAGTACACTCAGCAACTAAATGGCTTCTCGCCGGTGTGTATACGTTTGTGGCTTTTAAGAGTTCCAAATCGTATAAAGGTCATCAAGCATATTTCGCACTGAAAAGGCCTTTCGCCAGTGTGGGTCCTTGTGTGGCTTTCAAGAGTACTAAGACGAGCAAATGTTCTTGAGCACAGTTCACACTGAAAAGGCTTCTCACCAGTGTGGATCATTTTATGTCGTCTAAGATTGCTAGATTGTGAAAATGTTTTCAAGCATACGTTGCACTGATAAGGCCTTTCTCCAGTGTGTGTACGTTTGTGGCTTTTAAGATTTCCAGATTCTGAAAAGGTCACCAAGCATACGTCGCACTGATAAGGCCTTTCGCCAGTATGTGTACATTTGTGCCTTTTAAGATTTCCTTGTTGTGAAAAAAACATCAAGCATGTTTTGCACTGAAATGGCTTTTCACCAGTGTGTGTACGTTTGTGACTTTTAAGATGTTCAGATTGTGAAAAGGCCACCAAGCATACTTCGCACTGATAAGGCCTTTCGCCAGTGTGGGTCCTTTTGTGTTTTATAAGACTTCCTGATACTGAAAAGGACACCAAGCATACTTCGCACTGATAAGGCTTCTCGCCAGTGTGGGTCCTTTTGTGGCTTTCAAGAGTACTAAGACGAGCAAATGTTCTTGAGCACAATTCACACTGAAAAGACTTCTCACCAGTGTGGATCATTTTATGTGTTCTGAGATGTCCTGATTGTGAAAATGTCACCAAGCACATTTCACACTGAAAAGGCCTCTCTCCGGTGTGGGTCCTTTTGTGATTTGTAAGATTACCAGAATGTGAAAATCCCTTTAAGCATACATCACACTGAAAAAGCTTATCGTATATTTCATTCTGTGCCCTTGTTCTTAGGCAACACGGACGTTGAAATATTCTTTCATTGTGCTTTATCAACTCTCCCTGCGTTGGTGTAGATGGCTCTTCTCCAGTACAAGTTCGTTCGTGTTTTACTGTACTGGGTGTAGCGCTAAAACAACATGATTTATTATTTAAGTAGTGAATTGAAAAAAATTAAATATGTTAACCCTTTGAATTATGAAATATATAAGGAGTCATATTTTTTACGGGAACCTAACTTGAATCCACTGCTCCACGGTGTTAAGTAGTATTGAAAGTACTTAATTTGATTAGGTTTAAATTTGGCCAGATTAGTTATGATGAATGTACGAAAGAATAATATAGATTATTAAAAAAGATTTACCTAGTAGACCAATCAAAACCATTTTCTTCTTCAGCTTTAGTTTTAATTTTATCGACGCTATGTTCTCCAATACTAGACGAAAAAAGAAGAATAGTGTTACATTTATAAAAAATCTAGCTCATGATCTGATATATATACTTGTTAAACATATAAATATTTAAAACAAATTATCTTTTAAAAACGTAAATTTAAGTGATAATCTTGTTATCAAACTAAAGACAAAAATCACACTTACCCCAAAGAAATGTGGTCCACATCTTCGTCCTCTTTATCTGCTAAATCTTGGTTTTCTTCTATTTCTATCTCAGATTTGAAATAATAATCTTTATCGACTTGATCAACTTCCAATTTAACTACGGCCATGCTGTTTTAATTTTTAACAATAAAAACATAACTAATGTTATTAATTGAGGTTGTTCTACGACTCTTGGAATACATTTATATGGTGTAAATTAATTCCCTAAATAAAATATAATTTTTCAAAATTACTTTTCATATTGTTTGCCCGTCTTAGTTATAACGCTCGTGCATGCGAAGCTCTCGACTCCAATCATTTTTTATAAATGTTGTATTAGTTAATTTATACAAAAATTATTCAAACATGGACAATAAAAATGTTTTTAATTATGAACGTTTACAATACAATAAATACAGATTGTTTACGAGTACAGAACACAGTTATTAGTTGTCTTGGATAATTTGTTCAGTTTATACTAGATATAAGTTATTACCGTTTTATTTTCCTATTTAAAAGCCAGTTATTTTCGAAATTTACAAAATTATTTAAAATTTAATTATATGTTTACACCAAAAGCATTCGTTTATAAGTTTAGAAAAGACTTGGCTTCGAAACACAACTAAGATGGTTTTACTATCCAGAGTGTTACACCCAGTTTCATTAAAACCAAATTAGTCAAATTCTTTTAAATGACACTGTTATTTACTGATCCTGAAAAATTTGTCAATTATTTGCTACAAACTACCGGAATTAAAAACATCACTACAGAAAAGCCTCCACACTAGATTTTTGTACGTATAATAGTAATAATAATGAAATTAATAAAAATAAGTAACTTAGATCGATGATTTAAACCTTATTTTGCCAGGTCATCTTATTTGGACTTTAATGGAATGGGTACAAAAAAAAAATGTAAATCATTAATTATCAAGAAAAAATTAAAAACCGGAAGTTCATAAATTTCTTTATTTTACTGATAGGCATGAAAAATGATTAATCGAGCTACTATAGTTTAAGTAGTTATTGTTAGTTGAAAAATATGAAAAAAAGTTATTATTTTTATGCAAGTCGTTTTATTTGTGATTAAAAAAAAAAACATTTGTTTTATTTTTTATTACTTCTAAATACATATTATTCAATTAAAAGAACTTTTTTTTTCTATGCATTTAAATATACATGAAAGCATTTCCTTATCGTAGAATAGGGTCTTCTTTAGTTTATTTCACATAAATGTATGCGTGTATAGGAAGATTGTAAAATCATAAACTTTTGGGCTCTAATAATAGTGACCGAAAATTTAAAAATAATTAAAATCCCTGAATTTGTTATAATTAATAATTATATAGCATTATAACATATTATAATATTAAATTATAATTACAAATGTTTTAGATGAAAATGAATCAGTTGTGTAAAAGTACATGACGTCCACTACTAATTAAAATACAAATGTATATTTTACTCAGAGGACGTAAGAAATATCACTACCTCTGTTTTTGCCCCGACTTATATTCTGTTGTTGTTTTGGTTGCACCTTTTAACTTTAAGAAGAAACCACTAAAATCCTCCTCGGTAACTTCTTTGGTGCAGTTTTCTTATTACGTTAAGAAAACAAATAATACGTTACAATATTTGTATAATACAAATTTATACTAATTTTGTAATTAATAAATGATGTTGCATCTATAAATGTTTATTTTATTTTATAACTATTTGAGAGTAATAAATGTGATAAATTTTTTTTTCCTGAATAGTCCTTGCATTCCTGCATAATAAAAATTAAAACAGAAAAGTATTAATTATTAAAATAGTAGCAAAGTATGTTATCCACGATGAAATTATTTAATTGCTTGATACCAGTAAAGCTTGTATAACTTTATACAGACTAACGACATAGTAGTGATTAAAAAAACCATGTTTCATGAAAAAATCTAAAATAGATATTCAATATAGCATGCTTAAAAGTTAAAACTGAAGCATATACGAGTGTCCAAAGAGTTCAGAACTAAGCTTTTCTTGAAGCCGTTATAGATTTTTTTTCAAATTTGGAATTTTAGATGTTGGTATGTGTTATTTTTTGCACATTTTAAGCCTAAATCCAAAATCTTATCATAAGTAGTTTAACTTTAAAGTATAAATGGGAACCTATTTTTAAGAAAATTCTATATGTCCTAGTTTAATTATAGATTTACCTTCGTAACAATTTTCAGACCTGAATCGCTAAAACTTGCCTTAAAAAGTGAAATAAAGAAAACATTTTTTTCTTATCTAGGGGAAGTATTCACGATATTGTATTGGTTGTCAATGTTTATTGGTAGTACTATGTTTAACGAATATCCTATGCAAATTTGGAATTAATTCGACTATTAAAATGTAAGGTGTGCCATAATTTTTAGTGTTTCTCTGTTTTGAGAGGAATGGATAACCTTTATAAATTGTTGGTCAAATTAAGTACCTTACAGATAAGATTTCTGACCAATAAAGTATAATTTAATTTTTTGATAGAGCTGATAGCAAACTGCGTGATAGTATAAAGGATATATTGTGCACAATTAGGATATTTTAAATAAAATATTTAGGTATAAATCGTTATGAGAAATATTAAATTTTCTATATTACAAATACATATATTATTTATAGGTATGCTTTAACTCAATTGTACAAAACTTGTTGTACAATGCACAAAACATACAATAATCTAACAAATTATACTTAAGCATGCAATACACTTTTTAACTTTATGATTGGCTAAATGTTTTAAGTACACTCAGCAACTAAATGGCTTCTCGCCAGTGTGTATACGTTTGTGGCTTTTAAGAGTTCCAGATTCTGAAAAGGTCACCAAGCATACGTCGCACTGATAAGGCATTTCGCCAGTGTGTGTACGTTTGTGGCTTTTAAGAGTTCGCGAATGCGAAAAGGACACTAAGCATATTTCGCACTGAAATGGCTTCTCGCCAGTGTGTGTACGTTTGTGGCTTTTAAGAGTTCCAAATTGTGTAAAGGTCATCAAGCATACTTCGCACTGATAAGGCTTCTCGCCAGTGTGGGTCCTTTTGTGGCTTTCAAGAGTACTAAGACGAGCAAATGTTCTTGAGCACAATTCACATTGAAAAGGCTTCTCACCAGTGTGGATCATTTTATGTGTTCTAAGATTGCTAGATTTTGAAAATGTTTTCAAGCATACGTTGCACTGATAAAGCCTTTCGCCAGTATGGGTCCTTTCGCGACATTTCAGAATTCCAGATTCTGAAAACGTCACCAAGCTTACTTCGCACGGATAAGGCTTTTCGCCAGTGTGTGTACGTTTGTGGCTTTTAAGAGTTCCAGGTTCTGAAAAGGTCACCAAGCATACGTCGCACAGATAAGACTTTTCGTCAGTGTGTGTACGTTTGTGGCTTTTAAGAGTTCGCGAATGTGAAAAGGACACTAAGCATATTTCGCACTGAAATGGCTTCTTGCCAGTGTGTGTACGTTTGTGGCTTTTAAGAGTTCCAAATTGTGTAAAGGTCATCAAGCATACTTCGCACTGATAAGGCTTCTCGCCAGTGTGGGTCCTTTTGTGGCTTTCAAGAGTACTAAGACGAGCAAATGTTCTTGAGCACAATTCACACTGAAAAGGCTTCTCACCAGTGTGGATCATTTTATGTGTTCTAAGATTGCTAGATTGTGAAAATGTTTTCAAGCATACGTTGCACTGATAAGGCCTTTCTCCAGTGTAAATCTTTTTGCGTCTTATAATATTACTAGATGGTAAAAATGTTTTCAGGAATGCGTCGCACTGAAAAGGCTTCTCACTCAACTCTTCTTGTGTAGGTGGCTCTCGTCCAATACAAGTTTGGTCGTGTTTTGCTGTACTGATCGTATCGCTATAACACCAAATTTTATTATTTTAGTAGTGAATTTTAAATATGTTAAGAATTGTTTTGTAACCCTTGTAAATTGTGAAATATAAACTTGAAATATATAACTTGAATCCACTGTTCCGCGACTTTTTAAAAATCCATACCTAATGTATATCCTGACAGGCTAACCCATGTTAAATGTTTGATTATGATTTATTCATTGAAATGTTATTTTGGATTTCTACCGAATTCAGTTTATAATTTGTAATTTTTACATTTTAAAATGTTTATTATTTGGAATATGCCAAATTTTATATTGGAATTCAATTCAAAATTATTCCACAAACATTTTGAATGTATTTTACAAATAAGGGAACATTTTAAACATTGCGTTACCAGTTTTCGTTTGATTATTATGCTATCTAATTGCTTATTAGAAAATAATTCTGGTGTAACTATTTTTACAACTCCGTTACCTATCAAATAAAAACTATCCTAGTTAGGTTTTTTAAGTTACCTAGTAAAATAAGGGTACACATCTTCGTAGATTATAGTATCTGAATCTTGATTTTCTTCGATTTCCGCTTTGATTATGGCCACGTTATTCAAATTTCTAAATATTATGCAGAAAAAAAACATTGATTAACAGTACTTAAGTATATTAAGTTTTATCACATTTTAGTTGAAATTTAGAACGACACTATATATATATAGAAATAAAGGTGTTTATTGAATTAAATGTTTCAACATTCTACATTTTGCTAGATTAGAAATGATTAATGTACGAAAGAATAATATAGACTATAAAAAAAATTCACCTAGTAGACAAATCAAAATCATTTACTTCTTCGGCTTCAATTTTAATTTTGACCACGCATGGTTCTCCCATACTAGACAAAAAAAGTACATCAAGTGATATGACAGTACCTATTTTTAATTTATAATGTTATTTTATAAAAGAAAAGGCTAAAAAACAAACTAATTACTTTGAAACTTATGTACTTCTTAAACACACAATTATTTTAAAAAAATAAGTTATAAAAACAAACATTTTAGTGATAATGACATTATTAAAATTAAGGCAAAAAAATGTACCTACCCAAAAGAAATAGGGACCACATATTTGTCTCCTATAGCTGCTAAATCTTGGTTTTCTTCTATTTCGATCTTAGATTTGAAATAAATATCTTTATCGACTTGATCGACTTCCAGTTTAACTACGTCGAAGCTCTCGTTTTCAATCATTATTATTAATGTTATAATAATTAATTTATACAAAAATAATTCAGATATGGACAATACAAATGTTTTTATAATAATTAGTTACACTACAGAAATACACATTTTATAAGTGTACAGAATACGGTTAATAGTTGTCTTGGATAATTTGTCAAGTTTATACTAGACATCAACATGGTTTAATTTTACTATTCAAAAGCCAGCTATTATCGAATTTAACATAAACCATACAACTAATATTATTGTATTAAAAAAAAAACTAGGCTGAATTTTTATTTGATATGAAGTATGTTTGGCAAAACCAAAATATCATAAAAAAATTATGGACATAAACCCTGAAATAAAAACTTTTTTAAGCAAAGTTAGTGTATTAAATTGAGGGTCTCTATTTACAAATAATCATCAAAGCGTTTATTTGAAAGTAATTTTATTCACTTTCAGACTTAAAAATTTCTGTAGACCTGTGACTTCTCCGTCCCCTTGTCGCTTTAATTCCATTATGCCTATACTCCACTGTAATGGCTTTTGTTCATTAACAAACATACGTATAATAAAAAATGTTTAATAAATAAGATAAGATGTTCATAATGAACCAATAAACACATATTTTACCTTTATTTAAAAAATCAAAACCAATACCAAGAAAATATTTTTAATGCTGATATATTGTCATTTTGAGAATCATTCTTCAGCTCATCGTGTTTCCTTTTTTAATTTTTTCTATTATTTTTAGTATTATGTTAATTTATCTTCGTAAAAATAACAAAATAAGTAATACAACCAAATAAGTTGGATGTATTGTACATTTCAAAATAACTAAATAAAACTAAATAACTGTTTCTTCTCTTAATTATCTAAAACTCGGTTCTAGATTATCTTTTCAGAGTAATCTTAATTTTTATTTTCCGTTTTCTTTATTATATCTTTCCTATTAAAACTATTCGAGCATATTCAACATTCGTTTCAAATTCATTGCAAGCATTAGTCTTTTAGTACCTAATTAGAAAACACAGACCGGTAGAAAAACAACACAGGATGATCAAAATTGATTTTTAAATTATTTAAAAATAAATAAAATATCATATAATACTGCTGTTGAACAATTCTTTTTCTAGCAGCAGTCAGACTAACTTTTTGATGTAGAAATAAAAATAGTTATTTGATTATTGTTTTGAACGATGGGAAATTAAAATTTTGCTTTTATGGTAATAAACCAAGGAAAATTTAATAAGGAAACCCGGTAAAAATCACCGAACTGACACAGTTCAAAAGTCAATATTGATTTTATTATGATTACTGCTGGTAGAATAATAATTGTAATGCGTGTAAATGGTTTCGTTTAATACTATTTACCTCGAATTATTTTCGGCATGTTGTATTTTTGCTATTAGTTGTAAAACAAAAACCAGATAAAACGTACTCGCCATTTTCAAAATAACACAGTTGGCAATTTTTAATAACAATTATAAGACGATAGCGTACCACACAATTCATTATAACAACACATAAGTTGTGGGTAGAGATTTTAGTACGCAAGATTTTTGTGTGAAAATTTTCTTTGATATATATTATAATTCTTAAAAATTTCACAAACCGTGAGATAATTTAGTTGAATATTAAAATATATTTACTTTAATGAATAATTTATTGGTAACAAATAAAATCAACCGTATTTTATCCGTTGTAATTATTATAGATTTATAATTACTTAGGATATGTTAATAAATAAAACAAAATGTATACATAATTTTATAATCATAAAATATACTACGTTTTTTTAAGGGGCTTTATATATGCAACATTTATGAAAATTGTGGTTTTAATAAATTTCTACCTTGCCAATTAATTTTCAAGTTAATTTGTAAAAAGTTCAGAGTATAGTTTTGAATTATAATGTGTAAAATAGCCATAATGTGTCGATACAATGTGATTAAAATTTTTTTTTTGTTTTTTTTATAACAACTTTTGAAACTTAAATGGTACACACCATTACATACCGCATACATATCATTAGCTTTTAAAAATGAGAAAAAATTGATGTTGAATTAAATTTCTTATTAAACCATATGAGACATTGAGTGGTTCAAAACGATCACCTGTTTTTGATATTATTCTAAAATTAAAGAAAAAATCCAAGTCTAAACAGCGAACTGAAACACGGTAAGTTTTGATTAAACTTCAGTAATTTATATTCTCTGTACTATACTGAACACCGTAGAGCCCTGCAAATGATTCAAAGCCAACATAATCAAACAAGTTTAAAGCATATTAATGTATTGACATACGGACAACAAGAATGTAAAATTAAAAAATACCTATTTATGATAGCAATAATATTGATTTAATTAAGTTTGTAGTAAGGATTATTGGGGGCGGTTAAAATGGATAACGCTGTACGTACCTACTCAGATTACCGATTTATTTAATCGGCCACGCCTATTTTAATGATATAGAGATAGTAATAATAATTATTATTAAAATAATATATATATATATATATTGCTAACAGTCCATTAGTATTAAAACAACGCATGTATTGCATCAAGGAGAGACATTCCATCTCATTATTCTCCCCAATTTTGATTTATATGTTTCCATCTCTTATCTCTGTCGTCTGTCCGTCTATGTTCCCATAGGTTTGCCCATTAAACTTGAGACACCTATTATCTTTGGAAATAATTAATAACAATAACAATTTTATACTTTTTCTTTTTTGTTGAATTTTTAGTCAAAAGGTATTTGACAGCATTTAACAATATATCAATTATACTTCACATTTTTATGTATCGTTGCCGTTTCTAGAGTTTATTCTATCAGCTTTTTAAAATGTAAAAGGTAACGTTTGTATTGGACAATCTTTTTTAAATTAATAAATTATTCACTGAAGCATGTTGTCCGGTCGATAACCGGTTTTGAATAATTATTTTTAAAGTTATTCAAGCATAAAACTCAGGACGGGTGAGGAAAGATGAATTGTAGTATATTTATTATATTAATAAACGCGCTATACTCAACTGCACTCCATCATCTCACGTTCTAAATTTTACACTCTTTAAAACGTTAAAAGTAATCATTCATGTCTGGTTGTCGACCAGTCAACGTTTTTAGCAAATTATTGTCAATTGAAAAAAATCATTTAAAAATAAACATATTTGTTACCGTTTATACTACAAAAAAAGGTAAATAAATACTAAAAAAGGTAAATATTTTGTAAGATTATAATGTTGTAAGCATACAGTTTTTCAAAAAGAAAAAATTTAAAATTTAAACCATTTTAATACATATTGAGAGCGTCTTACGTTGGAATTGATCACTCTCTATTGTTAATGTTGTGTGTGTAGTGCACCAAGGAGAGAAGAAGGCGCCAAACTCGTGGACGACATTCCCTCCCTTTTACTCTCTACATAATATTCCATGGTTATCTTTCCATCTTTGTCCGTCTGCTATACTATATTATACCGGATGATCGGTTTAACGTGAGACACTCGATTTAAAATAATTGCAATTTTGTAATTTTTTCTTTAAAAAAAAAAAGTATTTTTGTTTGTGTTATATTGCAAGCTGGTATGATAATTGTAAACGAATTGCATTGTATTTTCTGCATAATATAGTGATTGAAAAAGCTCAATTTTAACTTAAGATTTTTAATTATTAATACAGGGTGATCTGTTTTGTCGCACTCTTTTTCACTTAAAATAATTGCCAGTTTTTCTTTTTTGGCACCACTTTATTTTATGTTATTTTACAATATTCAAATTTGTACCTAATTCATTTTTTTCAAGAAATGTTTAAACTTACACGGTACCGTATATATGTAATTCAATTTTTTAATTCAGAATAATTTACTGAAAATGTCGACTGGTCGGAAACCCGATTTAGATGATTACTTTAGGAGTTACCGTTGTCTAAAATTTTGGACGGGAGGCGGATCAATGATATTACTTTTAATGGATAGGTTTACTCTGTAAGTAATCACACAATATGTAAGTTTGGGTTTCTCGGTAATGAGACGTGAGTGGGTTACATGGGCGTGCCCTATTCTTGTACGGATGATTAATAATTCTTCTTTTCTTTTGGATGTTAGGATGATACTTACTTTTTTTGACACTGAGTTGACTGCTCGTTGAGTTTGTTCGAGAGGAGTGTGTTGTTCGGCCGTGTTTCCATTAATGTTTCTTAATAGCTAGTACAGCGGGGTAGGAACACATAGGAATGGGAGAGGTCACAGGTCTACAGGAATTGTTACAACTCAAAGTGATAAAATCACTTACAAATAAACGCTTCGATGGTTTTTCCTTAATAAAAACAAAAGTTGGACTACACATTTTTGAGAAAATTGTAAATGTTTTAGACCCTATGAAAATCTACCTTCGGCCTAATTATCACACCTAAATCCCTAAGACTTCAGTCTTCACCTAATAAAGCGAAATTAAGAAAACAATTCCACCCATTCTAGGAGGGAGGTTAGGTTTGGTTAGGTTAGGTTAGGTAAAAAAAAAATTAACAAAAACTCATCACTGATTAATATTTCAAAATTTTTACGGTTTATTCTTTGGCCATGGTACTAATACCTTTTCCCCAAGAAAACTTGGAAACATTATTATTTATTTAACAGTACACCGAAGGGTGTATAGGTAGGTATAGCCATAGCGATATGTATTCAAAACTGGTTATCGACCGGTCATTATATTATTTTATATTACATAATTTGTGATTTTTTTTTCAAACGATATGTAATTAGCGATAACAGATCTACTTGTAGATCAATATAGGGTTACCATGATCCTTAGTCCTAACCAACATTCTTAGCTTCCTTACATACACAAGGAATGGGCTCTGGTTTCAAGTAAGCAATTCCTTTTTATTCAGTGCAAAATGCACTGTCAATTAGACGTTTTAAAGGTTCAAACTCATACATACATACGTCCATTAATAGCTTAGTACTGTTTTATTTCATTATAAACTTACCCGCGACGCTCTATGACTTTTAACAGTTACCTTTTGACATTTGGAGATAATAATGACACTAATATGGCAGACACAAAAATAACAAACACATTATTGTAAAAAAAAAAATGAAAAAACTATTAATACTCGGATGTATTCGAATGACTTAAACTACAAAATTTACTATTATTATTCGACGACATATCGAGCGGTAAACGCATCACCCTGTATATGTGTGTATATACAAATATTATATAATATCTCTCTCCCTGTATGCACACACACACACATGTTTATACCGACTGCAGCCCATTTCATTTGCATCGCGTTACCGGCACATCAGTCTCGTGCGTTCCACCGGTTCGGCGACATTCGTTTTCGTCGCGATCCGATCATATACCATTATTACTATTATTTCATTATCGTTTAAATAAAATACAAAAAACATCAGTGCCGTTCGATCGCGCGATATTGGCTATTATTATTATTATAATTACAATACGTCCTAATATTAATATATATATTGTTGTAATAGTTTACCTGGAAGAACCGAACAACATTAAACAGCACCGGCTCGACCGTCCCATTCGTCATGATATTGTTATTGTATTTTTGTTGAACTAACCGCAGGTGAGTAACGGCTAAAAATTAAAATAGATTTGTTTTCTTTTTTTTAAAACAATATAATATAATATATATTAAAATAGACGAATCCATTTCCTTCCCCCCACACCCCCAAAAAAAAAAAAATTCCAACCGTTATTTTCAAAATAATACCATATCATCATTTTTATCGTACCCACAGCTGCTATGCTTTGTGTTTATTTTAATTATAAATTTAAAAATAATTATCGCCTTATGCATATTTCGTATTGTTGAATAGTCGGCCAGCCGATTAAACGTTTTTCTAGTATTATAATTTTATCCAGTATTGACCGGTAATAAAAATAAATTCGGTTGTTGCCCAGACCGACAGCTGTTATCACTGTACTCTGTACCTACCTGTATAGAAATCTAGTCAAAAGAAACAAATATATTGTGTTTAAATGTTGACAAATTGAATCTAAAGTGACGGCGGCGCGGCGGTGGTGGTGGGAATAAGAAAATTAATGTGTAATTTCACACGCCGTTCGGTAGGTGAAGTACTTTAACCTTTATTGTATTTTTACAAAAAAAAAATAGTTCAAATGACAGCGATTTTCCACTTGCTGGGGAAACGTTTGAAAGGAAAACAATTTTTTTTTTCGATGCCTAATTTTTTTTTCTGTATATTATAATATGGTTAGGTACAGCCATTCGCGGTAAACCAGCAGGTAGAAAGATAACCGATTTGCTTAGCCGAAGCAACACTTTGTCGATACATTTAACAGATGGCCGTTTTGTACAATATTATATTCTGTTCACAAATTATTAACACAACGGTACACACCTAACATCCTAACCTTATCTCGTTTGTAAAGTTTTAATCGTGAAAAAAAAATGTATACACACAAGTTGTAGGCATAAATACGTTTATAGCTAATTCATTTTTAGTAAGTATTCGGTAATTGTTCAAGTGTATGACTCAATAATATAAGTCATTAGAATTTAAAGAAATTAAAGCTAGTCTATCGAGTTCCCTCGTTAACAAGTTTTCATTAACCTTACTTTTTAAAAAAAAATTTTAATGTATACAAAATTTACTTTTTTTCTTTTGAGTCTGCTGAACGCATTGCCAGGAAGTGAGGGCGAAGATAGTTGCTTTATTAAGACATTAGATTGAGGGAGCTTAGATTAGAATGAAAATTCAAGCAGTGAGACTTGGCTGGTTAAGTGTATAGGTATTTTTAGGTCTTCGTGTAAATTCTTGTTAGTGATGTAACAACAAAGGGCAGAGGTTATTGGTCGCAAGCAGATCGTCTATGAAACGCCTGAAGAGTTTTGTTGTTCGAAGGCTGCATAGCGGCGCTGATTATGGATTTGTATAAGATTAGTTTATTGGAGACAGAGAGAGAGAGCTTAGGTTTAAGTAGTGATCAAAGGAGTCGAAGTCAAGAGGTAAATGATTTTCGATAAATTTAACAAGTACTAGCAACATTTTGCAGTTAGGAATGTGTTTATAATGTGTTGAGTTTACAACAAATTCCACAATGCGTGTAAAATCTTATAAGTTATTATAGTTCATCGTTCGTTTGGTAATAAATCTGACTGGAAAAATTGTACTGGATATTTATACACAAATTAAAAACTCCAATGTTTAAGTATGGGTATTTAAAAAACAATTTTTTTTTACAATATTGCACCATATCTCGCATTACACAATATGGCGACAATTTCGATACTTAACGGTGTACGACGGTTATATAACAATACATTATAATTTTTTTCTCAACGGGTTAGTTTTATTTTTGCTTATAAAAGTAACATGTCTACACATGACAGCAAATACGGTTTTTTTTTCTGCATAGGTGCCTGGCAAATTTTATTATTAAATATTATACAAGTTACAACTATAAAATAAATTCTACAATTTCATACAATGCCCATTTGATAGTTTAAATAACATGTTACTTTAGTTTTATTAATATTTAAGTAAGTTGAATAAAATTTATTAAAAAATATAGGGAAAAAAACGATTAAGATATTATTATTCAAAAAGTAGTATTAATATCACTGACCAAAAATTTAAAAAAAATCTATGGGATTTTCCCCTAAATACTAATGTGAGCCTTCTCCACGCTGTCACTGTTAATCTTTTCTCAAATTTACTTTTTGAACTCATAGTATATGTTGTAAGTAGTCCAAGAAAAAAAAGATTTTTCCCACAAACCCTAAACTGGTTTCAAATTTTGTATAATAAATTAGTATCCTATTGTCGGGTAAAAGTCAAAGAAATTTATTTACAAATAAAATATTATATTGTACATAATTTATTATTTGCAAGTCGTTAATTTGCAATACTTGATGTAGATAACAATTTAACTACCTAGTTCAGTAATAACAAACTGAAAACGTTTCGTTTAATATTATAATATTGTTGAAAGCAAAACTAATAAATTAATTTTTTCATACCTTTAACCTTATCCAATCTTGTCATTAAAACGTGCAAATTTCAGAACGGGCTATCTTTTTTTTTTTTTATTACTGTTATGTTCACAATATTGTCTGTAATTGATTCTAAACTACTGAAATGTCTGTTTTTGTTCATCCACCGTCAATGTTCACCTTTGGTTGAATAATAGTAATTATATTTTGCATCTTATTAAACTTTATCATGCCGGTTTCGAAACCGGACGTTGTTTATTGCATGGAAACCTTGTCGAATTAAAAACCACGAGTCCCACAAAATTTTATTATAATTTAATTAACCGTAAAAATATCATTATTCGATATTCATTACTGTCGGACTTCACAAGTCCTACAAATACCGCATAATATGAGAATCCCTAACAGTTACAACGAAATAAGATTATAATAAAGTTAGGTTGGTACCTAATTAAATTTATCATATCATTGTTTGTTTATGGTCCAATTAAAATTCAAATGCGTTTTTACTTTTCAGTAGAGTTTTATATTGTATTTATTCGTTTTAACAAGTCGACAATAATAATAGTTGCATGCAATTTGAACACTTTGAATATAACTTTCACTATATAATTTTGTTGTCATGAAATTTCATAAGCGACCACAAACATTACTGGTAAAGTGGCAATGCAATTTTTCATGATTTTGTATTTTATATTGCCCTACCATAGCTTTAAGCTAAGTATGGTAATAATAACAAACTGTAATTCTTGAAAAGTTTCCAATAAATATACTCTTTTCGAGTATTCTAACGAAAAAAGATGATTTTTCAAGTATTAAATAAACTTAAAACGTTAAGGAAATTGGCGCCAAATCAACCGGTCTTAGTGGTTACCGAGAATACTTGAAGTAACCTTCTGGTCAAGTACATATTTAATTGTTTTACCATACCACTATCGAAACGCAATCAAATGATATTACAATATTTTAATGGAATAGGTCAAATTATACTTAATTGCCTTTGCATAATATTAATTCGTTAATAAATTAAAAAGTATAAAAGTATGTAAGTTACCAGAGTGGTATTTCAAGATTAAAGCAATCGTTTAAAATGTATATTTTATAAGTAGTCTGTGAATCATAAAAATGTCACAATGAAAAAACAATCGCATTTTTGAACCTATCGTGTGCCTTATAAAACCATTTGTCTACTTGTTTATTTGGATAAAATATAATTCAGTTAGTAGAATTATACTGTACATTGTAACCCGTCTTTGTTGTCTCATTTATAATAATGTCATCTCTGGTTATGACTCGAAGGAAAAATAACATCAGCTGTAGCCTGTATAATAATTAGCCAAACGACTTTCTTGTTGTATGCTTGGCTTGGATTGTCTTTAACGTGCAAACATAAAAAGATTTATTTTAACAATGGTAATTACCTGGAAAATACACGCCATTCGTGATTCCTGGTAATAATTTCATATGGCAATCGGATCTAAAACAGATAGAGATTTAATATAATATATAGTTCCTGGTAAATGTATATATTATCGTGATCCATATAGGTAATCATAAATCAATATGATACCGTTATCCATTGCATTTCATAAATATGTATGTATGTGATATGCACACTGATATTTCATGTCGATCAATTTAATGTAATAATAATTCAAATCTAAATAGGTTTGTTTTTGTAAAATAATATTATCTAATCAATTTACGACATAAGTACGATTCTTCTTTGTTCGCCAGTTTCCGTGTAGGATACACAAACCTGGTTGAGTTCAATACACACACACATGTTGTTTTTTAGAACTATTATTATTGATATAAAAAAAAAACAATGTATTTTAAAGCGTCAATAATATAAACACACAATAAAACGGTGTTAAAAACAAACCGTCAATGATGTTCATAATTCCTTAGCTGATATTCTGCGTTTAGAATATTCAATTAGATATTATAATTTATTTAATGTATTTATTGTATTAATTCTAATAAACATTATATAATACATTGCAAACTAGATTTCACGTTATTGTGCAATACTTATTTTATATACTCAATTCTTGGATTAGTTAAGAAAAGGTGGAGAAATATTTTGTGATCACTGATCAGTCTTACAAAACAAAATAGATTGGCTGAAACAGCAATAGGTCACACAACACAATCCCGAGGTGTCGTTTAGAGAAATAGAAAATTTGGCTAGGTCTTATCCTTTTTTAAGTATTTAAAAAACCCCATAAGGGTAGACATAAAATATGCAGTTTAGAGAACATACTCTCATTGCATCACTATTTCTATGATTTTTTTTTTTGTTAAATATCAAATCTGGCCAGTTTTTATAAAATGATAATTATTAGCAAAAAATTAGTTGTTTAAAATCAATTTTCATTTAGCGTCCTGATTCAATAATTAAGTATATAAATAATAAGTTATTTGAAGTATATTATTATTTAGAACTTCAAATAATATTTAAATGATTTAATTAATTTGGCATTTAAATAACTACATAATGTTCATTTGTATAGTATTATGATGCATATGCAGTAGGTACAATAGAAAAGAAATCATTTTGTTTACTAGATAAACAACAATTGTTAATTTGATTTTAGTATTTG